GTTAAATTTTTGCTGATATTCAAGAGTAAACAAACGACCTCACACGTCTAATACACGTCAGCTGGTGGGTCTAATATACATTCACAAATATGGTGATGATATTTAAACAATTATTACAATATTGCATAACAGTAAATCTTCTATTTTTTGGTGTGAATAAAAATTCATTATGTGAATAAAAAATCAAAATGGAATTTATTTGTAAAGCCTCAAAACATAACTAATGAACAGAGGAAATGTTAGTTTAGTGCCAGGAATGCCTACATTGTTTATTCTGGACCCTATTTTGAAATTGGAATATTTTGAACTTTGTGTTAAATTGGCCAAATTAACAATTTCCGATCACTTTATTTTGTAGTTGAAACAGTTGACTTGGTGATTTCTTGTGCTCAATCGATAGAATAGAAGTAATACTAGTGAAATAGCTAAGAATTTGGTTGATTGGAATAATGTAATTGGCCTAAAATGGGAGTCAAAGTCGGCAAAATCGCCGATTCGTAAATATCGCTGACACATCAAAATTCGCGAGAGCATAATTTCGTCAATTTTCCACCAAATTTCGTACTTTTTGTTTTATTACCTTCACAAAAAGATTCTCTACGATTTCATAAGAAAAAATAATTTTTTTTTTTGAAAATTCTTGGACACTGGTGCGTGACTCCAGATTTGGGCCTTGGACCCTGAAAGGGTTAATGAAGATCTGGTGATGATTGATGGGATGGGAGGAGAGGAGAGGTGTTAGTGTTTAGAAGGGGAATCCCCTTCCATTAGGACTTGAGGTAGCAAGTCCTTTTCTGGGTTACTTCCCTTCTTCTTTTAATGCCACTAGGACCAGCTTGAGAGTCACTGGACCTCTGTCGCACAACAAATCTGTCCATAGAGCTCTGTACCTCCCGTTCCTTTACGATTTGTCTAAAATGGGCCACAACATTGTCATTGTAATAGCTGTGTTAGGGTGATTTTCATCCATAAAGGTTTGCACTTCAACCCACTGTGCACACATTTCCTTAATTTTTGAAGTAGGCACAATGTATTCCACAACTGGTATAGGCTTCTCAGGGTTAGCCCCAAACCCTTCAAAATCTTTCTTAATTTCCATACTAATTCTCACCCTTTTTACCACAGGGTTGGCACTAGAAGCTTTCTTGGGGCCCATGGTGACTTATTTTGCAGAAACAAGCACCAAACACAGTGATAATATGGATAATATGGAATGTACCGAATGTATCCTTAGATGCACGCACACTGGCTGGCTTGTAAACACTGGCACACAAGGGGCAGTTCAGGCCACACGTGGACAGGTCTCGTACGAATCGTATCGAATACCGGGTTTTCAATCGAATACCAAGGAAAATTTTTTGCGATATAATGCATCGAATACCGGATTTATCGAATACCGATGCCATCAAATACCGGGGGTCCACTGTATATACGTTTTTTCAACATTTGAAAGTATGTAAAAAAAGTAGATCTTCTTTTTGTTTTTTACATTTGAAAATGTGTAAAAAACTTTGATCTACTTTTTTTTTTGTTATATTTGAAAATATGTAAAAAAAATTAGATCTACTTTTGTAGCACTACACATGTGAACGTAGATCTGCCTGGACCGTTTTAGGGTTAACATACGCCCATAAATTTGGGAGATTTGTGAATGTCACTGTTCAGCCAAGTGCACTTCACTAAGATAAATTATGTTTAACAATACAGTGGACCCCCACATAACGATCACCTCCGAATGCGACCAATTATGTAAGTGTATTTATGTAAGTGCGTTTGTACGTGTATGTTTGAGGGTCTGAAATGGACTAATCTACTTCACAATATTTCTTATGGGAACAAATTCGGTCAGTACTGGCACCTGAACATACTTCTGGAGTGAAAAAATATCGTTAACCGGGGGTCCACTGTAGTTACATACAGTGGACCCTCGACTAACGCTATTAATCTGTTCCTGAGAGCTCATCGTTAGTCAAAATAATCGTTAGTCAAGTTAATTTTCCCCATAAGAAATAATGGAAATCAAGTTAATCCGTGCAAGACACCCAAAAGTCTTGAAAAAAAAAATTTTTAACACATGAAATATTAATTTTAATACACACAAACTGAAGAAGACATGCACAGTTACATGACACTTACCTTTATTGAAGATCTGGTGATGATTGATGGGATGGGAAGAGGGGAGTGTGTTGATGGTCTTAGTGTTTAGAAGGGGAATCCCCTTCCATTAGGACTTGAGGTGGCAAGTCCTTTTTCGGGGTTACTTCCCTTCTTCTTATAATGCCACTAGGACCAGCTTGAGAGTCACTGGACCTCTGTCGCACAACATATCTGCCCATAGAGGCCTGTACCTCCCGTTCCTTTATGACATTCCTAAAGTGTTTCACAACATTGTCAGTGTCACCATTAAACACTTGTTCAGGTTTGGGTCCTTCACTGTCTATGTACTCCTTGAATTCCTGCACATATTTTTCAGCTGCTTTTTGGTCCAAACTGGCAGCCTCACCATGCCTTATCACACTATGTATGCCACTACGATTCTTAAATCTCTCAAACCAACCTTTGCTGGCCTTAAATTCACTCACATCACCACTAGTTGCTGGCATTTTTCTAATTAAATCGTCATGCAACTTCCAAGCCTTTTCACATATGATCGCTTGAGAGATGCTATCTCCTGCTATCTGTTTTTCATTTATCCATACCAATAACAGTTTCTCAACATCTTCTATCACTTGCGATCTCAGTTTCGAAAACATAGTTGCACCTTTGGCAAGAACAGCTTCCTTGATTGCCGTTTTCTTGGCCACAATAGTAGCGATGGTTGATTGGGGTTTTGTGTACAGCCTGGCCAGCTCGGAGACATGCACTCCACTTTCATACTTAGCAATGATCTCTTTCTTCATATCCATAGTAATTCTCACCCTTTTTGCTGTAGGGTTGGCACTAGAAGCTTTCTTGGGGCCCATGGTGACTTATTTTGCAGGTGCAATCACTAAAAAGGCTGTGATAATATGAAATGTTCTGATTGTATGCTTGGAAGCGACCGTGGTGGCTGGCTGGCTTGTAAACACTGGCCAGAAGTGGACGCGTCTCAGATGGAACGAATAGTGTTGGTCGAGTTTTTTAGTGCTAATCGAGGCAAAATTTTTGCGATAAAATGTATCGCTAGTCAGATTTATCGTTAATCGATGACATCGCTGGTCGAGGGTCCACTGTACAACTATTATTACTCCAACTGGAATAATATTCCAGACATAGTGAACATTGATCCAGTTATCCTATACAGTGGTACCTTGGGGTACGAACTTAATTTGTTCCAGAAGGCTGTTCGAGTTCTGTTAACGAACGAATTTGTTCCCATAAGGAATAATGTAAATTAAATTAATCCTTTTCAGACCCCCAAAAATACACCTACAAAACCACTTACATAAATACACTTAAATAAATGTTCGAGTTTTGGGCTGATCGTATCCTGAGGTACCACTTTATATCTATATGATATTTTTACATTATATTATTCATGAGTTACTGATACTGGAAAATATATGCAGTCTGAAATGAATAAAACTGTGTATGAATATTCTTTCTGTGTATGAATACTATACTGTGTATGAATATTCTTTCTGTGTATGAATACTATACTGTATGAATATTCTTTCTGTGTATGAATACTATACTGTGTATGAATATTCTTTCTGTGTATGAATACTAAACTGTGTATGAATATTCTTTCTGTGTATGAATACTATACTGTGTATGAATATTCTTTCTGTGTATGAATACTATACTGTGTATGAATATTCTTTCTGTGTATGAATACTATACTGTGTATGAATATTCTTTCTGTGTATGAATACTATACTGTGTATGAATATTCTTTCTGTGTATGAATACTATACTGTGTATGAATATTCTTTCTGTGTATGAATACTATACTGTGTATGAATATTCTTTCTGTGTATGAATACTATACTGTGTATGAATATTCTTTCTGTGTATGAATACTATACTGTGTATGAATATTCTTTCTGTGTATGAATACTATACTGTGTATGAATATTCTTTCTGTGTATGAATACTATACTGTGTATGAATATTCTTTCTGTGTATGAATACTATACTGTGTATGAATATTCTTTCTTTATATGAATATTCATACTGTATAAATGATCTTTAATACATCTAGAAAACTGAGAGAGCTTTTCCTCAAGTATTTTCATGCATTTTACAACATAACACTCAGTACTGTATTTTATCATGCTGTATTTTGACAAAATTTCTCTCTCACATGACTTCCGATGTGTCACAGAAGACTGATTTTTTTTTTGTAAGAACTCTTTTGGAAAATTATCCAGCCTGTAGTTACTGGAGTGCCCCAGGGTAGTGTCCTAGGCCCACTCCTCTTTCTCATCTACATCAATGATCTCCCCAATGTATCCCAACTACTTAAACCAGTTCTATTTGCAGACGACACTACTTGTGTCTACTCCCATTCAGTCCCAGCATACTTAGAGACACTGCAAACAACGAGCTGCTAAAAATATGTACTTGGATGATGACCAACAAACTCACTCTTAACCCTTTGAGGGTCCGTGCCATAGATCTACGGCTTTATGTTGAGGGTCCAAACCGTAGATCTACGTCATGAGCTCAGCTCACTCTGATAAGCTGTGAGTGGTAAATTTTGGCCTAGATATGAGAGAATACATCTATGTGGTAGGTGTGCACCACATAAAACAAATCCTGCAGCACATAGTGCATAATGAGAGAAAAAAACTGAGACCATAATTTTCAATTAAAACAGCAACTTTGCAGTGTTTTTTCTTATGTTTTTTATAGTTATATTTGCAATTTCTTGGTCTCATTTGATAGAATGGAAGACATATTACAGAAATAGAGATGATTTTAATTGGTTTTAATACTGGAAATGGCTTGAAACTGAGCTCAAAGTAGTGGAAATGTTTAATTTTTGCCGATGTTCAAGAGTAAACAAACGACCTCACACGTCTAATACACGCCAGCTGGTGGGTCTAATATACATTCACAAATGTGGTGATATTATTTATACAAATATTACAATATTGCATAACAGTAAATCTTCTATTTTTTTGGTTTGAATAAAAATTCATTTGAATAAAAAATCAAAATGTAATTCATTAGTAAAGCCTGAAAACGTAACTAATGAACAGAGAAAATGTTACTTTAGTGCCAGGAATGTCTGCATTGTTTATTCTGGACCCTATTTTGAAATTGGAATATTTTGAACTTTGTGTGTTAAATTGGCCAAATTACCAATTTCCGATCACTTTATTTTGTAGTTGAAACAGTTGATGGTGAATTCTAGTGCTGGAAGGGGAATCCCCTTCCAGCAACACCTCAGGTACCAATTGCTTCTCTTCTCTGTTTCTTAATGCCACTAGGACCACCCTGAGAGTCACTCTAGTCCTGTCTCGCAAAGTAGCTGTGGAGAGAGCTCTGTTTTTGGCGTCTCTTTAACACTTCCCTAAAATGGCCCAAGACTTTGTCACTGTACATATTTCTCACCTTCTTTACCACAGGCTTGGCACTAGGAGCTTTCTTTGTAGCCATGGTAGCTTATTTAGTACTTGCAAGCACTAAAATGAGTGGAATATTATGAAATATTTCGTAGGAGCACTTGAGGGGACCTTCACTCACTGGTAAACAATGCCAGACTGGCTGGGTAGGGAGGCCGCCCCGGCTCACACCGTGCGTACGCGTCCCGGACGAACTACTATTCGTGAGTCAACCTATGAAAAGCGAGTCCATGTTTATACAAAAATACCCCTATGATTGGCGAAATTTACGATTGCCGAGAACTACGAAAAGCGAGGGACCACTGTATAACAAAAAAAAAAGTAGATCAAAGATTTTTACACATTTTCAAATGTAAAAAAAAACAAAAAGAAGATCTACTTTTTTTACATACTTTCAAATGTTGAAAAAACGTATACACCTACCATCCGACTTACGACCTGCTCGACTTACGACCACTCGACTTACGACCGTGTTTATTATGCCAAATTTCTGGGAAATAAACAAGTATTTGTGTTGTACACAGTGTTTATCCTAAACCTTACAGTATAAAATACAGTACTAACAACATAAAAAGTAAAGTAAAACATGAAATACCAAAATAAAACAATAAAATAAAGTCATTACAAAAATGTTTTGTTGATATTCAGTAGTAAAGTTCGACTTATGACCATTTCGACTTACGACCGGTTTCTCGGAACCGAACTTGGTCGTAAGTCGGATGGTAGGTGTATATACATTTGGACCGTTTACGGGTTAAATACGTATACTAGACACACTCATATTATTATGCCTTCTACATATACAGAACATTAAATTCCACTATAAACCCTCCACTTAAACTACTCGTTGACAGTTACAACAGAATGCAGTCACAATACAAGGCATAAGGCACTTTCAACATCCCTTGTGCCAGTCTCTCACTATGCAAGAACGCTATGCATATAAAGGGCCTGAAGATCTGGAACTCGCTACCAGAGCCGGTAAAAGATCCCCTGACTACTTACAAATTTAGGACTGTGCTAAAAAACCATCTTATCTCTCAACACTAACCAAATCAACCAAAACAACTGGTAATTAGTTGTGTTTTATGTGGCCTCTGTACTTTTAAACTTCAGCCAGTCCATGAAAAATTACTGAATGAACCATTAATTGTAATAGTTTTTATTATATGCAACTTCAAGATTATTATTGTATGTGTAAGAAAGGTATAAAATACCGACAATATGAAAGTTAAGACACATGTGCAACATCTGGATATCTTTATTGTAGACGTTTATAACCACCAGTCTTCTTGCCTTTGCTCCAGATTCTCCTCCACCACGATGCTGTGAACGCTAACTCCAAGGCTGAGGGACTGATTACCTCATCTTCTGTATATAGTTCTACTGTCTTCCTATTATGTCCTAGAATCTGTATTGATAAAGCCACTGGATGGCAAAACGTCTACAATAAAGATAACCAGATGTTGCACATGTGTCTTAACTTTCAAATTATTCTAATAAACCTCCACCTTGACTGCCTCGCATTAGTATTAAGATTAAATATAATTGTAATCAAGTAAAACACTTGTCTAGTTTTAAGTAATCACTATGTACTATCATCATGTCTAGTTTTAAGTAGTTTACTATGTATTAACCTTTAAACTGTCCAAACGTAGATGTACGTTCACGTGCGTAGTGCTGTGATCTCTATTTTCTCCATTTGAAAGCACAGATCTACGTTTGGAGTGCTACGAACGTGGCTCGTACGTCGGATTGCATGCAGCCAGCAGTAACAGCCTGGCTGATCAGGCTCTGATCCACCATGAGGCCTGGTCACAGACCGGGCCGCGGAGGCGTTGACCCCTGGAACTCTCTCCAGGTAAACTCCAGGACAGTTTAAGGGTTAGGATTAGTCTACCCAAAATGCCCCAGCATGTTAGTGGTTTTCTTTCTACTTAGCAAACCAAAATTGTAATTACATATTGTAACCTTTACAAAGAAATAAACCTTCATTTTACTTTACAACTTCCAATGCGTAAGGATTATCAGGAGTTTCAGGAAATAAGTTTTATCTGAAAAGTCTCTTAAACAGTATGAAGTTCCATGTGTTTTACTAAATTATTTTTACGTGAAAAGCCTTTTAAACATTCCGAACACTGATATGGTTTCTCTCCAGTATGACCTGCAATATGCCGTATTAAATCTGTTTTTTTATTAAATTTTCTTAGACACTCCGAACATTTATACGGTTGTTCTCCAGTATGAACTTTCATGTGTCTTATTAAATAGGTGTTATCTGAGAAGCTTTTCAAGCATTCCGAACACTGATATGGCTTCTCTCCAGTATGAACTGCAATGTGTCGTATTAAATCTGAGTTTTTATTAAATTTTCTTAGACACTCTGAACACTTATATGGTTGTTCTCCAGTATGAATTCTTTTGTGTCTTCTTAATTCAGATCTATCAGAAAAGTCTTTTAGACACACTGAACACTGATATGGTTTCTCTCCAGTATGAATCCTCATGTGATTTATTAAATAAGCCTTTTGTGAAAACATTTTTAGGCACTCCAAACACTGATGTGGTTTCTCTCCAGTGTGAATTCTTATGTGATTATCTAATAAATATTTTTGGGAAAAAGTTTTTAGGCAGTCTGAACACTGATAACGTTTCTCGTTAGTGTGAATTTTCCTGTGCCTTAATAAATTAGATTTGTTTGCAAAATCTTTCAGACATTCGGAACACTGAAGTGGTTTCTCCCCAGTATGAACTTGAATGTGTTTCCTTAAATCAGACTTGTTCAAAAAGGCATTTGGACACTCTGAACACTGATATGGTTTCTCTCTAATATGATTTGTTATATGTCTCATCAAATCAGATTTTCTGAGGAAGACTTTTTGACATACTGAGCAGTGAAGAGCTTCTGAGTGAAGTGCATTTTGTGTTTCTTGAACACATTTATTTTTGAGTGTTTTAGACATATTGAACAGTGATCAAATAATCTTCCATATGAATTATAATCTTAGCCAAAACTGTTTTCTGTAAATATCTATTTACAATGAAAACCAATATTTTTGGAATACTGGTACGTGATATTATACACATCAGAAATTACTAACTTCATAAGGGCCAGTGTCTGGGAAACACAAGAGATGATTTAAGGAATTAGAAAATATCAAATTCCTTGGATCAAGTCCTCAGTCGTGGCAAAGCACTTCACAGGTTTCTCTAATACCATTTCAAAAGTTTTCACAACAATCTTCAGAACGATATATACTGATATAAGTTGATGTATTACCTCTCACGCATATTACAAAACCATATTTATGGTTATTTTCTGGTCACAAAAATCTGATTTCTTTCTCTCTACTGGTCTTGGTGCTTTCTATAAAGTCAAGTGATTGCTACAATGACTTTAAATTACCTAAGATAACTTATCAGAGGCACAAAGAATGTGTTTTGAACTGAGTACACAAACAAGTTATGAAAACCTCTGGTGCCAGGATAACCTGAATAATGGCACAAGTGCAATTTTTTGGTATCTGGATGACCTGCAATGTTGGTACTACAAGTGTCAGCCTCAAGTGCCAGCATCACCTGCAAAAGAAACAAATGGCACCAATAGACAATAAAATATTTATTAATTGTAATATCTTATTAACCTATAATTGTTTTACATGATGGTAGGATTGCTGGTGTCTTTTTTCTGTCTCATAAACATGCAAGATTTTAGGTACGTCTTGCTACTTCTACTTACATTTAGGTCACACTACAAATGCATGTACAAGTATATATATATACACACCCTTTATGGATTTCTTCTATTTTTCTTACTAATTCTTGTTCCTGTTTGTTTCCACTTATCTCCATGGGAAAGTGGAACAGAATTCTTCCTCTATAAACTGTACCTTGGGTGGGGTTTGAACCTGCGGTAACAGAGTCTCAAAACTCCAGACTGTCGTGTTAGCCACTGGGCCAGCTAGCTTCAATAAAATTCGTCCAACTAGGTATATTTCTACACCATAGGAAAGTTAGCATAGCCAACACTGTGTCCACAAATGCAAGTTTTTACAGATGAATCTCCCGCTAGCATGGCCATGATGAACTCTAGCTCAAGTCCCGTCAAAGCCGTCAACATGACTCACGAAATCGTAATGACACGATTGCAAACAAACGATTTTGTGAATCATGTTGACGGCTTTGAGGGGACTTGAGCTAGAGTTCGTCATGGCCATGCTAGCGGGAGATTCGTCTGTAAAATCTTGCATATGTGGACACAGTGGTGCCTATGCTAACCTTCCTATGGTGTAGAAATATACCTGTTGGATGAATCTTATTGAAGCTAGCTAGCCCAATGGCTAACGCAACGGTCTGGAGTTTTGAGACTCTCTTACCTCGGGTTCAAACCCCACCCGTGGTATGGTTTGCTTGCAATCGTGTCATTACTATTTCACGAGTCTTCCTCTATAAGCCATGCATGTCGTAAGAGGCGACTAAAATGCCAGAAGCAAGGGGCTAGTAACCTCTTCTCCTATACAGTGGTCCCTCGTTTTTCGTAGTTAATCCATTCCTGGAGTTGCTAGTATTATTGAATCTACGATTTCCCAATCAATTTTCCCCATAAGAAATAATGTAAATACAGTTAATCCATTCCTGACACCCAGAAGTATTAAAACAAAAAAATTTTTTACATGAAATATGCATGTAGTACATAAACAATACAATGGGACATGATGAATGAAACATTAACAGCATAACACTTACCTTTATTGGAGATTCTTCTTAGTGTATGGGAGACTGGAGGAGGAGAGAGTGGATTGTTTATAGTTTGGAAGGGGAATCCCCTTCCATCAACACCTCAGGTACCATTTGCTTTTCTGGGGTTGCTTCTCTTCTCTGTTTCTTAATGCCACTAGGACCACCTTGAGAGTCACTGGAGTCCTGTCTCGCAAAACAACTGTGGAGAGAGCTCTGTTTCTGGCGTCTCTTTAACACTTCCCTAAAATGGCCCAAGACTTTGTCACTGTACATGTCGCCAACATGGCTTGCAACAACCTTGTCAGGGTGATGTTTCTCCATAAAGCTTTCCATCTTACCCCACACAGCAAAAATCTCTTTAATTTCCGAAGAAGGCACCTTCTTCCATCTCTCTTCCTCCTCCTCTGCAGCAAGATTTCTGAGCTGCGATCTGTTGCTGTTCCTGCTGCTGAAGCTCTTGCAGCTCCTCAGTGGTGAGCTCTTCGTTGTGGTCTTCCACCAATTCTTCCACATCCTCCAAACTCACATCCAACCCCATGGAACTCCCCAGTGCCACAAATTGATTTTAAAAACAGACATAGGCTCATCAGGGGCAGTCCAAAACCCTTCAAAATCCCTCTTGTCAACACAATCTGGCCACAATTTTCTCCAAGCAGAGTTTGAAGTCCTGGTAGTCTATATCTCCCAAGCCATACCTATAAGGGTTATGCAATGGAGGATGCTGAAGTGTTCTCTCCAAAATTCCCTTAGGGTCAAGTGAGTGTCTGTGGTCACAGTCAAGCACCTGTGAAACATTGCTTTTGTGTAGAGTTTTTTAAAGATTGCAATGACCTGCTGGTCCATGGGCTGGAGGAGAGGAGTGGTATTCGGGGACAAGAACTTTACTGTGATGAATCCAAACTCCTCAAAAATTAGGTCATCCAAGTTTGGAGGATGAGCAGGTGCATTGTCCATTACTAGCAGGTACTTGAGATCCAATTTCTTTTCCAGGAGGTAATTCTTTACACTAGGGCCAAACACTTCATTGAACCACTCGACGAAAATTTCCCTCGTGACCCATGCCTTACTATTAGATTTCCAAAACACACACAATTTACTCTTCATAACATTGTTTTTCCTGAACACTCTGGGATTTTCAGAATGGTACACTAGTAACGGCTTCACTTTGAAATCCTCACTAGCATTAGCACAGAACATAAGTGTCAGCCTGTCTTTCATAGGTTTGTGTCCTGGCATTGCCTTTTCCTCTTGTGTAATGAAGGTCCTCTTTGGCATTTTCTTTCAAAAGAGGTCTGTTTCATCACAATTGAACACTTGTTCAGGTTTCAGTCCTTCACTGTTTATGTACTCCTTGAATTCATGCACATATTTTTCAGCCGCCTTGTGGTCCGAACTGGCAGCCTCACCATGCCTTACCACACTGTGTATGCCAGTACGGTTCTTAAATCTCTCAAACCAACCTTTGCTGGCCTTAAATTCACTCACATCACCACTATTTTCAGGCAATTTCTTTACCAGATCGTTGTGCAACTGCCTAGCCTTTTCACAAATAATCGAAGTCATAAGAGTATCTCCTGCTAATTGTTTCTCATTTATCCACACCAATAATAACTTCTCAACCTCTTCGAGTACTGGTGATCTCATTTTTGTCAGCATAGTTACTCCCTTTGCAACAACAGCATCCTTGATTTCCTTTTTCTTGGCTACTATGTAACATATGGTTGTGTAGGGTTTCTTATACATCATGGCCAGTTCGGCCGCACTTGTGCCACTTTCATATTGTTCAATGATGTTTTTCTTAAATTCAATCGTATTTCTCACCTTCTTTACCACAGGCTTGGCACTAGGAGCTTTCTTTGAAGCCATGGTAGCCTACTTAGTACTTGCAAGCACTAAAATGAGTATATTATGAAATATTTCGTAGGAGCACGTGAGGGGACCTTCGCTCACTGGTAAACAATGCCAGACTGGCTGCCGCCCCGGCTCACACCGTGCGTATGCATCCCGGATGAACTACTACTCGCGAGTCAACCTATGATTAGCGAGCCCATGTTTATACAAAAATATCCCTATGATTTCTGAAATCTATGATTCCCAAGAACTACGAAAAGCGAGGGACCACTGTATATGTTACTAAATGTTAAAGGAGAAGCTTTCGTTTTTGCTTTTGGGCCACCCTGCCTTGGTGGGATGCTGCCAGTGTTTTGAATGAAAGAAAGAAATATCTTATTAAACTTTTTCTTCAAGAACATTACATTATAAGTGTCATATGTAATACTTATAGAATCCAATGAAAATGCCACATTTAGTCCTGGTGTGACACCATATTCACTTAACAAGATCTGCTTCAGTGCCACTCACATGACATCAGGACTAAATACGAGGTTCTAAGCTTCTTTCTACATTCTCTTTGTATCTACAGAAGTGAATTCCTCAAAGAAGAACGAGACTTCCACAAGCAAGTCTTTATTAAACTTCATTACCAGTGACATTTCATCAGAGCTTGCAGATGCCAGGACACCAACACAAGAAGATACATAGTCCTCCTTAACTCCATTGTTAAATATATCTTCAATACCAAATTCCAAGACAATCAGGGACAATCAAAGACAAAGGCATCACCAGGAAGAGATACCACCTACAACTGCAAGCCACTGCAGGAGTATATACCAATCCACTGCAACAAGTGGCAAAATATATGAAGAAGAAAGAGACCCCTATCATGTTGTAAATGGAATCCAATATAGATTCTCCAAGACTTACAATGAGGTTACGTTTCAACAACGCATCCTAAGTTGAAAATATCTTAAGTCGAAAATTAATATGTGATAAATAACTACTGTCACTAAATAAGTAAATAGACAAATAACTACTGTAATTAAATACCAGTATTGAAAAGCAAATAAATGAATACAAGTTACGGATTTGACACCTTCATGCTGAGTAATTATCTAAATATCATCTTTGAAATACAACGGACCCCAGGATATCGTAGTAGTCGGATTTTGTAATATTCGGTAATCGTAACTTTTTCTCGTCAAAATATTGGCTCGGTGATCATCATTTAGCTTGGTAACAGTCATTAGTCCCGAACGTGTTCGAGCAGCCCAACACACCATTTACAGTCAGTGTGTCATTGTTTATCAGCCAGTGAGCATGATCCCACGAGTTCATACAATACATTTCGTAATATTCCATTCGTTTTAGTGCTTGCAACTGTTAAATAAACCACCATGAGCCAAAAGAAAGCTTCTAGTGCCAGCCCTTTGGTAAAGAAGGTGATAAACATGACAGAATTCAAGAAAGAACACAGCAGTCAGGGTACTTCCCCATACAACAGCCAGGGTACTTCCCCACACACACCAGCCAGGGCACTTCCCCATACAACAGCCAGGGTACTTCCCCACACACCAGACAGGGTACTTCCCCACACACCAGACAGGGTACTTCCCCACACACCAGACAGGGTACTTCCCCACACACCAGACAGGATACTTCCCCACACACCAGACAGGGCACTTCCCCACACACACAATTTGATTTGAGTGAGACTTGCACATGCGTGAATAGAATTATCAAAGCTTATTGCTTGGGAAGCATTGAAAATTGGGTTGGGCAAATAAAATACGATTCTGTTAGTGGGATGGTTTGTGAAGACCTGCCTAGTATGGGCCAACAGGCTTGCTGCAGTGTTCCTGCTTTATGTTCTTATGTACACCAGCTGTGGAAATTGCATCAGGAGGAGAAAGAGAGAGGGAAGAAGGTGCCTTCTTCAAAGATTAAGGACATTTGTGCAAAGTGGATTGTGGTGCAACATTTGTGCAAAGTGGATTGAGGTG